GAGATATGGCTTCCAGGTAAGAGTTCACTTCCACTGGCTATGGCGACTCAGCGCCCAACAACCCACTGTTCACACACACTGGACCACCCTGGATATCCCACACGCGACACACCGAACGCTCACACAACACACACACTTCGCCCTAAGCGATAGCTTTGGCAGCGCTGGCTGCCTCTACCCTAGCGCTATGGCTACACCTCGTCACTCTCGCCCAGTTCTACTTTGGGCCAACTGCAGACCTCCTTGCACAAGATGCTGAGACAGCGCTTCCGCATGGCTTCCGCAGGAATGAATGAATGGCTGTGCGCGGCCTTTTGATTTATACTTCTGTGACTCGTTGGTCTTCCCTGTTTCCCTGGCCGACGGTGTACACAGTCCCAGACGGTACTTGCTTGACTGGACCGGACTGACTGGACTGGGACTGCTGACTCTGCACGGTGGACCTCCACCACTTGCCCACTTGCCTCGACCTACAGTGGGCTGACTCACCGAAAGGCCACTTCTAGAAACATCTACTTGGCCTTTCGGTACTGTAGCAGCTACGACTCTGCCCTTTCAGGTAAGTAGCAGCTACGACTTTGACCCTTCGGAAAGTCTACAGCTAAGACGTCTGGACTGTCTAGACCCCTACCCGACAGGTCTACAGTTCGAATCCCCTATACCCTGTAACCTATGACGTCCTACCTACCACTGGCGGTCCTACAGGTTGCAGATTCAACTCTACGGGTTGACACAGGTACTGTACACAGGTAAGGCGGGGAACTAGGGATCGAGCACTGGGATCTGCATCAGCTACTGCGAACTGGTGAATACCGTTTCACTCCCGCCGGCCTAAATTCGAGGTCCTCCGAGAATATTTCAGTGCAAGGCAGGACCTTTACCTTTCTTGTCTCTTTCGTAGGCCTTAACTATGTCCGGAGCTGTCTCTAGAAGTTCAGTTCTTGTGAACCACCGGTCGTCTTCTGGTTCCTGATATGCAAATCTGACTTTATACTGTTTCTGAGGATGACCTCGACCTCCTGTTCTAAACACATCTTCACCTACAATGCCGTCAATGTCATACCTCCCGTCCATGTCTGGAGGGATCATGGAACGCCTAGATGGAAAGTTGGAAACTGATCACTTACTGTGCACGGCAACAACTTCGACGCATGGAAAACTGGGTAGGTGTGGAGGTGTAATGGGATCTCTACTAAATATGACGGACCATCCTCTCCGCCCTTGACTTCTAGAACTGGCCACGGTCCTCTATATGCGGGCAGTAACTTTTGCGAGATGTTCTCCTCAGGAGCCAACTCTTTAGCTTTGACCCAGACTAAGTCGCCTACTTGGAACTGGGATGGGCGACGATGTTTGTTGGCTCGCTCTATCATCCTATGTTGGGCCTTCCTGAGGTTCTCTACAACAGTAGCTAGTTCCTTCTCGTGCTGGATAGCAAACTCCCTAGTACCGGGCGGTAGCCTGTGAATCTGATCCCGGTTAAGTCCTTCAAACGGTTTGCGCGGTTTGAAGGACTTATGCAGTTCGTTGGGAGTGCGGCATGTAGACAGATGCACACTATTGTTGTAAGCACTGGCTACCTTGGGGAGCATCTCATCCCAGTCAACTTGATCTGGCCTAATATACATTCTCAGAACTTGCTGCAGGATCTTATTCATCTGTTCAGTCTGACCGTTAGTCTCCGGATGACGGTCGGACGACATCAACAACTTAGAACCATAGACTCTCATCAACTCCTGCCAGTTCCGACTTGTGAACCGGTTGTCTCTATCACTAACTATGGACAAGGGGACCCCGTGCTCACTGACCCAATGATCAAAAAACTTACGGATCACTAACTCCGTTCGTGCCTCAGGAGGCAAAGGGATGAAAACAGCATACTTGTTGAACCTATCTACTATCACCATGACTTGGCTCTTGCCATGCCTACTCTTGACGCCTGCGTCCATGAAGTCAATGGACACTGAATATCCTGGCTGATCGGGAATAGGCAAGGGTCTGAGAAGACCTAGCGGGGAACGCGTAGTAATCTTATTCCTCTGGCAAACCTTGCAACTGCGGACATACTCTATGCAGTCATTCTTCATTCCTGGCCAGGTGTACGCGCGCATTAGATTGGCTAAAGTCTTCTGCCAACCAAAATGCCCCTCTGTGTCATGACATTCTCCTAATATCAGACTACGGATCTCTTCGTTATTGGGAATGCACAATCTGTCAAACACGTTAGTCTTCTAAAAAAGCAACCCCTCAGTAGTGCGGTAATCTGGTTCGGTCTCTGGGGCCTCCGTTACTCTCTCGAGGAGGTCACTATAGATAGGGTCCTGCGCATATGCTTTTTTAACCTTTTGCTGCAGGTCTCTTCCTATGTCCAGATAGTGAACTATCGCTCCAAAGTAGTCAGCTCTTCTACTCAGAGCGTCCGCAACTACATTATACTTCCCTTTGACTGGCTTGAGCTAGAAATCATACTGATCTATCTCTGCGGCCCACCTAGTAAGCTTAGGTGTCATCTTGGCCTGCGTCTTTAACCATCTCAATGTCTCGTGGTCTGAATAGACTTTGAAGTGCCTCCCAAGCAAATAGTGCTTCCAGTGTTCCAGCGCTTGCCTGAGAGCGTAGAGTTCTAGATGTCGCTACCTTCTCTGACGGCATCCTAGCAGACATGAACTCTACGGGTCTATAACCATTGCCATCGTCTTGCTGCAGAACAACACCTATGTCGTACTGACTGGCGTTCGTAGTGACGACAAAGGGTAAGGACGGATCGGTCACCTTAAGGACTGGATACTCTATCAGTGCATGCTTCAACTTCTTTATGGCAGACGTGCAGTCCTTGTCCCACTTCTAGATGGTCTCTTTCCTCAGCAATCTGCGAAGGGGCGCAG